GTCAGCTAAAATGTATGTACATTTCTAAATGTATAAATGTCTAATTTATACATGAACAATTTTTGTTGAAAACAGTCTGGGGGACGAATAAGGATTCTCAATTAATTCAAAGATATTTACATGTCGATGAAATAGTGTAAAATAAAGATTTGATCATACCATCTCTTTAATAGTATTTCCATTTACAGATGCTGCTTTTGAAATGCTGCAATGGAGATGGTTGTCGTTAATGTACATAGAAAGCATATAGCTTCTTAAGTATGAATATGGAGTAATCCTTATGATAACACATAATTATCGCTTTTTGCAGCTAATGACATTTCTGAAAACATCAACAGCAATCAGATCAAGACTGTGTTTAAGAATGCTGGGGGAAAGAAGACTATTGATATCTACTGGATAGCTGATGATGGAGGTGAAACACTAGGCACACTAGTTATATCACAATTTAATAAGACGTGTGTAACACTTAGTTGATATAGAAGTTGATATAAAAGTGTGTGGATTGGGTATCTGGTCAGAATTCCAAACCAACAGTTTGGGATTCTGACCACTTAACATTGGTCATCTAAATATGATGTCTCTTGGACACATCGTGGTGGTGCGCAAATCCAAGGAAGAGTTGGTCTGTGAGTTTATCTGGAAACACCTAGATCAGTCAGTAATCAAAGAGAAGGAGGACTCAGCATCTCAGCTTAGACTAGTGGATGGATAGTTGACAGATGTAATTTTAGTGCCAGTATTGGCTGTAGTCAAAACTGAATCTTCACATATAATTTTGGATATAAAATTAACCACTGTTATCTTGCTCTTCTCTAGGACTAATTTTACTGGTGCCTTACCTGCTCACCAGAAGAAAATGTTGGCGCAGTGGTAAGATTAGGGTTTTCATATTGGGAGATGAAGAAAACGTGGAGGAAAGCCGTGATGCGTAGGTTTATTCTATTTTAACCTATGTATTGGTATTCGAATTTTTAAAAACCTTTATTCATAGATAAATTGAAATTGAAAGGCGTGCAGGTAAACATTCTTCAATTACGTTTTTATTTGTGATGTAATCTTCATTGTTAAATAAAGCACAGATGAAATTAATGTAATTTTTCTTTTAGAAATTTTTAAACCAGGATATTTTAGATGTACAACACATAATCACCGAAAGAGCATTTCCCTGCATGCTGTTCAGACTGGGGTGAAAACGTTTAGGAATGTTTCATGTTATATGACAAGGTGTTTGATTTTCAGACAGTGAAGTGCTTTAAGATTGCTTTTTTTTTGTTTCTTTCAGAATGATCGCCCTGCTGAAGAGATTCCGCATCGATGTTACTGAAGTTGTCGTCATGACAGACACTGAGAGGAGTCCTCAGTCCAAAAAGTATGAAAAACTTGCCATCTTTTTCACCTAAGTCACAGTATGCACTAAAATCCTTTTACAAAACCCCTGCAAAGCTTTTAACCTCAGAAACAAATGAAAGGCGTGACATTTCACCTAAATGTTTCAATTATGAGTCCCAGTTTCATTTAGTGAAAAAGACATTTTTAAACATGATGTTGAATTAACTGTAATAGAGCGCTGAAAGTACAGTTATTTAGAGCATGTTTAATGATAGCAGGTTTTTTCTTTCCTTGACAGCAAACTCATTTGTGTCTTTTTGATGCCTTGCAGTATGAATAGGTTTTTGGAGAGTGTTGCGCCCTACAGGCTATATGATGAACAGCAGGAAGGTGTCTCAGTTCAGGAACTAAAACAGAAGGAACCATGGAAAATATCAGACAAACAGTTGGAGGCCTTTAGACTTAAGGTCTGTCTCTGTACTTCATTTCTAACCAAAAGAAAAAATGACATGCCTATGATTGTCCACCAAATTCATTTAAAACATTTTTTTTTAAAATTTTCTTTACAGTCTGAGAGAAAAGTAAGGCTGAACGAAATCATCCGGAAGAATTCACAAAATACCACCCTCGTGCTTGTGTAAGTTGACTTTTTATATTACCGGTGAAATTCAGAACCTTTTGTTAAATTTGTTAAAAGTGTCTTTTCTATCAAATCTTTTATATTGCCATTGTTCTGGCGTATCTTTAATCCCAGAATTGAGGCAGTTTTATTATACATCCACCATTTATCATTCCCCAGATGATTTGTACTATAATGTGGTGTATAATATATTATAAGACAAGGCAGGTCAAAAATAAAAGGGGATCAATGTAATGCATTCACCAATGCACCCTAATGAATTAAATGACTCTACATCTGTTTACAATCACAGTATATGTTTAAAAATTTTAAAACAGAAATTGAATATTTCAGCTATGACAAACATGGTAACAATAAGAGTGAATATTGAATAAATATTTTTAAATACATGTCAGTATAAGAGACCCAGTGTACAGTATCGGTCAAAAGTAGATTTTTTTTTTTTTTTTTACTGCAGTTGCTGATTTTTACTATGTTTTTATTTCGGAGTGCAATAACAAATTAAACGACATAATCCTCAATATAAACTGGAAAAACTGTGGTGTTCTAAAAATTTTGACCGGTAGTGTACAGTTACAATAAAAAGAAAGGGAAAAGAAAAAAAGGATGATTTTATACAAAACCACTATGTTCTTTAGAATGCAAGATTTGAAGTACAAAACAAGAACAATCTATTTGTTTTAATAGTACTTCACTTATTTTGATGCAAAACCACAAAATAGAGTGTGTTTTGAAAAAGATTATTGTCTTTTTCAAAACACACTCTATTTTGTGGTATAGAAGAGGTTCATTTTCTGTAGTTGCTGCAAAAAGAATCCCCAAAAAGAATCCCCAAGCAAGGTTATTTTTTATTTATTTTGCTGTTTTGTTATGTTGATTATAATTCAATAATCTTTACATATGTGAGATGACTGGCATGTTTTTTTTTGTTATGAATGAATTCTATTAGGAGTCTTCCTGTGCCGCACGGCAACTGCCCTAGTGCTCTGTACATAGCCTGGCTGGATGCTCTGACCTGTGGCCTCCACTGCCCTGTAGTGCTTGTGCGAGGAAACCAAGAGAATGTCCTCACTTTTTACTGCCAGTAAATCCTGTGTTAGTGCAATGAAATTTACAGAAACAATATTTTTGATACTCTAAAATGATGTCCTGACAATAAAGGAGAAAAAAAATCACACAAGACAAATAAGTACATAATAAAAAGGGTGTAAATGATGTGCTGTTGTAATCAAAGATGATTAACAAATCTGATGAATAATAAAGAATGATCAAAAACAGAAGATAACACAATTGTGGTTATTCACTTTTTTCTGAATAATTTTAAGCTGT